TTCTTTCTCATGATGTGACTGATACATTGCAGGGCGGGACCATCTTTGAGTGCTTACAATTATGATAGTTCTTATGGTAAAAAATCATTGATGGTGATGTATAGAGGAATTATGGAGCAGGTTCTTGTAATTTTCTTTCAGTACTGTTACATTTGCAAAGAAAAAGGTATGAGGGGGGAATAACTTAAGTTTGGTTTTCAGGATAATCTGCCTGTTGTCCCTCCTGGATGTTCAGCAGAAAAACCAGACACAATTCAAGATTTTATTACAAAGGCTAAAGCTGCTCTTGTGTCTGTCGGAATTGTTAGGGATACGGTTCTTGGTATGTATCTTTCAGAAACTGAAAGGAGCAAAACTTTTGTTATTCAGTCATATATGATAGTTATTCATGCAATTACCATTTATTTGCTATAGGTAATGGGAAGGATAATGGAAAGTTCTCTGGCCGAATAGTTGATTCAGACATGCATGATGTTGGTCGCTTTCTAAATCGTCTATTGGGACTGCCACCTGATATTCAGAACAGGTACATGGCTTGTTGACTTACAACACATATGCTTGTTGCAGTTATGTTGGGATTATGCTGAATACACGAAATCGAAATGCAGGTTATTTGAGCTGTTTATCAGTATCTTAGATGTCCTCGTTCAGAATGCACGAATTGAAGGAAATCTTGATTCTGGAATTGTTGATATGAAAGCTAACATTATTGAATTACAAGGAAACCCAAAGGTTAATTTCTTGCCAGATGTCTTGATTTGCTTCACATAATTTGATTGTGCTAACTACTGCCTTCCAACAGACTGTTCATGTTGATCAAATGTCCGGGGCATTGACAGTGCTGTTTACTTTCACTTTGGATCGTGGAATAACATGGGAGGTACCTTCTCTCTCTCTCTCTCTGTCTCTTTTCTATCGCTTAATTTCATGATTGGTTTGCTTTGTGAGAAGTGAAAAGGTCATAGATCTGTGATTTATTTTTGTTAGTCCGCGAGTACCATGCTTGATGAGAAGAAGAAGGATGGACTTGGTTCAGCTAGTGATGGGTTCTATGAATCTAGAAGGGAATGGTTGGGAAGACGTCATTTCATTCTAGTATTTGAGAGGTATTCCTTTTCGTTCTTGCAGAACTCACTTCTTTGACATACTGTGTTATTATCATTAGATAATCCAAATGATTGGGAATTATTTTCATTCTTAAGAATACCAAGTGCAGGTGTTTAAAAGAGTATAATCATTATTCATTAGACACTTGTTTTAACTGTATTTTGTTGCAAATCTGGGTCGAACTTCCCACTTTACTTACTAATTTTTTTCTTTTTTCCACTAAATTGTGTTTCAGCTCTGCTTCAGGAATGTTTAAGATAGTCCGTCCTGCTGTTGGGGAGTCAGTACGGTATTACTTTAAAGTTTAAACATTTGTAGGCCTCAAATCAACCTTTTTAGTAGATTTCTTATACTTATCCACTTTGGCTTCAACTTTCTCCAGGGAAATGGCTCTAGCAGAACTGAAAAACAAATACAGAAAAATTTCCTTGCTAGAGAAAGCTCGTAGTGGATGGGAAGATGAATATGAAGTTTCATCTAAACAGGTAGTCAGATTGTTGAACACCATTGTAATTAAATGGCCTCTTTTTAAGGGTATAGTGATTATGTTTAAATGGTCTAATTTTATATCTGAATTGTTGAATCTTTCTCTTCAAATGTCTAATATAATATCTGTTTTGTTTTTTCCTTTGTAGATGAAATCTTTCATAACTCCAACTTACTGAAAGACCTGATCTTGTAGTTATACTGTTAAAGCCATTTTGCTGATATCATGGTTTTCACATGGATTGCTGCTTGTTATATGTGCAGTGCATGCATGGCCCCAATTGTAAGCTTGGCAATTTCTGTACAGTTGGCAGAAGAATCCAGGAAGTTAATGTTTTGGGTGGCCTCATTCTTCCTGTTTGGGGCACAATTGAGAAGGCCCTTTCTAAGCAGGTAACTTGATGACATCATCTTTTTGGTAATGACTCCTTGGCAGTTACATAATTTTTAGTATCAAAGTGTTAATAAAAGTACTTTCTTTCCAATTCCATGTTAACTTATAACCATTCAATTTTCTGTGTCCTTTGTCATGTCATGCTGTCAAATAGATTCTTGTTCCGTATCTGTATGTGTATGTGTATACTCCCCAATTTGTGTTTCGCGGCATTTCATTATTGGGATAACATTTCATGTTTTATTGTTTGCGAAGGTAATTAGTTGTGCAGTTGAGTGTTACTTTTGTGCTAGTTTCAGGCTGCTGTGATGCACAATTATTTGAAAGAAAACAGGCTTGTGGTAGGAAATAGGATCTAGCCATTATGAATGATCATTCAATATGTAGTACTCAAATTTCAAATCCATTCTTCAAGTCATTGGTAATCAATGACAATGCTTAAGGGCCCATGGGTAGTTGCTCAATCATTTGCACATGGAAAAGCATAACCAAAATGGTGCCAACACAATCTGATAAGTAGCACTGGCATCTTCATTTTTTTTTCCCTTTTTTTCCCTTTTCTGTTCTTTTCATATTGTCCTCTTTTGCTGCATTACTTTTCTCATTCTATATACTTTCTTATTCCAAATATGTTATTTGATTCTGAACATTTTAAACGTTGATAAAGATACAAACATTAATTTGTTTATCTTTTCAATAGAGGCGCTGCTCATATTGTTTCTTCATGGGAAGGCATACAAGAACTCAGCTGTTGCTGAAAATACATTCATTCCTTTTCTTTCTTTGTTCTATTTCTGAAATCACTTCAAATAGTTGTTCTGGCGTGTTAGGGCAAGCCCTGCATATATAAATTAATATTTTTAGATTTTGCACAGCACTGTTTGATTTGCAAAATATGCTGTGCGAAATCTGCCCATGGTTAAAACATTGACCTCATAAAATTTCATAATTGTAGCAATTGGTAAATGTAGAAGAGCAATGCATAGTCATTTAAAATGATTAGAGGAAAATAATTGTAAATTAGGAAGAGTGCATTCTTGAGTCTTGCCTGGCCTTTTGTGAAGTTGTTTGAGAATTGAGCTTTAGTGTGCTTGCACCTTCTCTAACTGTTTTCTCTTCATGGTTTATTTTTCTGACTGGAGGATTTCTTATGTTTAAAATATTTGCCTTATATATTATGAAATATTTAAGATCTTGTGAAAGGCTCAGAAGTTTTTGATGTTTAATTATACAATTTTTTTTAATCATTATATATAATTGCTTTTGTACAACTAAAACCTCAAGTTATCGTTACAGGCCCGTCTTAGCCATAGGAGACTTCGTGTTGTACGGCTAGAAACCACTGCTGATAACCAGCGAATTGTTGGTCTTCTTGTTCCAAATGCAGCTGTTGAAACTGTACTTCAAGGTTTTTTCTCTATCCCTTGTCCTTGTCATACACTTGTAAGCATACGCATGCAGTGCAAACTCTTCTACAAAGTACTCACATGCATTCATGCACTCATGCACAAGCATATGCACTGACCGGGATGGAGCCAAGATTTGAAGTTAGAGGGCATGAACATTATTTTAAGAACTATTTTTTATTTTTTGAAAAGAAATAATTCACTTTAAAATTTATTTCCGTAAGAAATTATTGTATTGTATTCAATGTTGTAAATTCTAATAATATTGTAAAGCAAAAGAAATGATCATGCTGACAATTAGAAAAGTAAAACTTAAAAGCTGAGCGTTAATAGGAGTGATAGTATATGGGTGCATGCAGTGGTTTGTTCCGTTGGTTACTGCATGGTTTCCCCAACACAAAGGGAAGGATTCAACTTCCTCACTCCAAAAGTGTAACTGATAACACACACACAAACACAACGAAAAAACGAACAAACAAATACTCCATGTTAAAAGGGAGTTCTGCAGAATGTATATGTGGAAATCAAGCAACTGTATAAAAAAAGGAGTTTTGCTGAAAGTAATATATTTATGCTTTAACTAAACTGAGGTAGCCTAGGAATAAGTAAAGAGATTGAAGAGCTTAAATGGTAATAAAATTTTGAGGAAGTTAAGAGGGGCGAAGTAAGGATTAAGAAGAAAAATGAGGAAAACTTTAGAGGATAAGCATCAATGGTGAAAAACCAGTGGGGGTTATGACTCCTTGCCTGTCTTCATCTCTGCACTCAAAGACATGCGTGCGTGCATGCACACGCACACACAGAAAGTTAAAGATATTAGTTCATCTTTGTGATTTTGTTAATTTTCTTGAATCATCATATTAAGAAGTAAGCTTAATTCTTGCAGTGCTAGTCTGTGTACTTAATTTTGAGAAATTTAAGAGGTCCTGGTAAGGATTAATAAGAAAAATGAAAAAAACTTTACAGTTTAACGAGCTTGAAAAAGCTAGGGGGCATGATGCCCCTAGGCCCCCAGCGCTATCCTCGGGCACACAAATGCACAAGAATCTTGAGACATTATTTACTCTTTGTAATTGATTTCTTAGAATCTGCCTAATAAGAAGAAAACTTACTCTTGTGCTCGTCCTTTGATTTGAGTAAAGCATTAAGTTTTGACTTCATTGTAAAATCTGTGTTCCTCTCCCTGGGAAGAAAGTAAATTTAAGTTGAAGAATCTTAAAATCTTGATTCCTCTTTATTTTAAGAGACATACATATACCATGCAATGATTGCTGAACTATTTGGATGCAGATTTGGCGTGGGTTCAAGACATTGAAGATTAAGATCAAGTGGCGATCATTCTTCTTCTCTCTAATTGGGAGTTTTGAGACTGCTTTTGAAGCGTGGAAGGGTATATAGTCAAGAAAAGGCAATACAAGCCTCATAGTGGAAGAACAAGGGATATTTGCTCTGCACTCTCCTTCGGAATAGTGCAGCCTTATTCATATTGATTTTTTGCTCTTTGGCCCCATTTTTTTCTCATATAATCTTGTATATCAACATTTGCACGGAGGGCAACAGACTTTATATAGATCCCCAGGCTGTATTCATTGTAGCAAAACTTGAGCTAACATGTAACAAAATGTTCATTCAAGTTGTAACTGCAATAGAAAATCATTTTTGTTCAAAACCATATTTGTCCTCAAAACCCCAAAAGCAGTACAATCTCATCAAACACACCTTTTCAAGCACCCATCGACTTATTTAGGTTTGTAGCAGGTATCGAAACCTATTCAAGATTAGCAAACAAATGGAGCATCAACATGGTGATCACTGCAATAAAGACCCGGACGCTGAGTGAAACCCTGTCTCTTCAGCGTCTCCCTTGCCTTTAGAACAAGCTCCTGATTGGAAACCGTGCCATCTGACTCGGCAATTATGGTCTGGATGGCGTTGCTAAGAGCCCCATAAGCTTCGCTGGAATTCCCTGATGGGCTGGCATCAGCAGAAGTTTGGTTGGTCTGGCAGCCGCTGATCAGAATTCCACCGTCAGGAAGAGTGCGCTTAGTTGCTCCAGCATAAACCTCTTGCTTGCTGCCCACTTGGGTCTCCAGGGCAGGTTGTCCATATCCTTCATCACCATCCAGCTTCTGTTTAAGAAACTCTTGTGCCAGGTTTCCAACCATTCCCAAGAACCCACCACCACCTTCACCATTACCCTGCTGCAGCTTGTTCATGATAATTTTCATAAACTTCTTCACTTTGGGGCTTGCATCTTCCCCAAAGACATCGAAAAGGGTTGGCCTCAGCTTCCCAACGTCAATGTCATCTTTACCAGTTTTCTGCTTGAGCATTTCAATCAGAGTTGAGAGAGGCAGAGATCTGCTTTTCACATAACCACGCTCAGCATAGTCGTCGCCCACTCCTCTGTCATCGACCTCTTCCTCATCCCTACGCTGGTGGTGGTGGCGCAATCCAGAAGGGACATGAATTCCACGAGACTCGAACGCATCTTGCACGGTTTGGTGCAAGAAGCTCTTGAACCCTAAACCAGAACTTGATTCTTGGCGCTTGGTGCTTTCGCCGATCTGCTCTTTGGCCTCATCAATCAACCCACCACTATGGCACGAATCGGATACAATTGTTATGCGGGAACCTTCTGGGACTTGATCCACAAACTCTCTGAAATCGTCATCTGTTCATAAGCACCACCATTAACTCTTAGCAACTCAACAACGACCCAATAATATGGCAGTTCTATTGCTAAACAACACTTGTGTTTTCAGGGAGCAGATCTCTACTAGCATAAAGAAACCATAGAAAAATTGTAACGACTTCCAAGGCAGGCAGTCGGAATTTACTGTTTTAGCTTAAGCATTACGTCAATGAAGAGAGAATTCTAGACCCCAGCATCCAAGCACTGGATGAAGAGTACGCGGCGGAGATTCCAAGACCATGAGGTTTATCCACAGATTCTGCGAAATGGGTGCAAGAATTGTTTTGATAGATGGGTTATGATAGAGCTCGGAAAGATGAGCTTGTAACATTCCAATCAATTAGAACAGTGATCCTAGCATAGTAGTAGGAGAGGAATGAAATTCTCACCCTAGAACAGAACAAAATCTGAGGATAAGGCACACAGATCTATCATCTAGACATATTAATCTGTACTTTTTATCAGCATATATACCAAAGAATGATCGAGAAAAACCTGTGATGAGATTCATATCGCAAGGGACAATGCATTCATCATAGCCAGTGTCATCATCCTCCCCAGTCTCGGCAGGAAGCCTAGTCCCGTGCCCACTGTAGTGCACAAAGAGAAAGTCCCCAGGCTCAGCCGACCTCACAAGATCACTCAAAGCCCTTCTGATGTTCTTCCCCGTTGGCTGAGTGAAGGACTCATCCGTGTCTATCAATACGTTTATGTCTTCTTCTGAGAACCCGTAGCGCTCTGTCAGGCATTTGTACATTCTTCTGACATCGTTTATGCAACCTTTCAGCTCTGCCTTGGTGCCTGGATAGTTGCATCCTATCAACACTGCTTTCTTTGCCATTCAATCAAATCGGTTTTTCTTCACAATTCTGCTCGTCTCCGCTTGATCAAAGGCAGATCAGGTGGAATGAACGTTTTTTGCTTTTAGTGGGTGGAGCTGATGGGCTTATTAGTTGGCCTAATTAATGCCTTACTTTTTATTCATCATATCATGCCATGGCCATGGCATGATGGCATGGCATGGTATGAGTAGATTGAGAAAATTTTTTTGAGTGATATCATTAGATATTATTTAAAATTCTCAATGATATGTTAAGAGAATACTTAAATCAAATTTAATATAATTTTTTTTAGAAAAATATTATTGAGTACTATCATTAGTAGAATTTTGTTGTTGTTGTTTAGAATTGAGTCTTGTGAGATATTTTTTAAAAAAAATATTTTTTATAATTTATTTATTTAAAATTATAAAATTTATTAAAAATTACTACTCATTAGCATAAATTAAAATATTAAAATTAAATAAAATATAATCTTACATAGTAAATTATCAAGTTCAGCAACTAACAATATAACAATATTTTATTGATTGATCAAAACTAAATATAAATATCCATAAACCATATAAAGTTAAATATAAAAATCAAATAATCAAATAATATATCTACAAAATAAAGAAAAGAAAGACTCATAATTTTAAGATATTATTTGACATGTAACACTATTTCTATTAGCTAGATTATAAATATGAATCCAAATTATTAAATTAATCAAAAAATATTTAGACATGAAGTATTAAAAAATTAATTTGGATTGAAAATTACTTACCATTAAAGTCTAGATGAGTTATTTTGAAAGAAAAAAAAAACAGCAAAAGGACCAAGAAGGGGTAGGACTTGAATTGTTAGACGGGGAGAGTAATTAGATTTTAACTTTTTTAATAAAATCTTAAATTATAGAAAATTTTTTTTGTCTTGTAATATTTAAGTATTAATACATAAATTACTTTTTGATCAATCACTTTTACTTGAAATCTTAGACCCCACTTCTTATAAAATTGTAAAAAACATAATGGATTCATTAGTATATTAACTACCCTAAATCTTAAATAAATAATATAAAACCTAAAACATTTTAATAAGTGAGAGGTGTCATTTGACACCACTCCCTCCAAAGTGGGTTTGCCCATGTCTGTAATGTTGATTTCAACCTAGAAGATCACTAAACTCACTTGATCCCCAACGGCTAGTTAACGCAATTGAGGTATAAAAAATCAAAAAATCAAATTATAATTAACATGAACTTAAAATGATCTTAAACTCACAATTTAAATTAAATATACTTCAAAATTTTAATTTGTTATACATACAAACATATATACATACAAACAAACAAATACACATCTATCACTCTATTTAAAAGGAAATCTCGAAGGGTTTCCAGTTTGTGCCACGTCGGCTGCATGGTAGGGCAATGGTTCTGGTGTTCTGTTTTTAGTGCACCTTTTGTGCAGTGGGTCGTTTGAATTGTTTACTTTGTAGGTCACTTGAACATTATTTTGTTATTGGTTGGGTCGTTCATATGAGCTGCATCGAGGGTCGGCTTGGAGTCCACGAGTGTTGTGCTATCCATTTGTATCCCTTATTGGTTTTATTTCTCGAACCGGCTTGGGTGTGGTTGATGATTTTTCATCTTTTCATCTTCCCTCTTTGCTTTCTTTATTGAAGTTTTCATGCTTCCTTCGAGTTGGCTTTTAGAGGAGGAGGGGATGATAATTTTTAATATTTCTTTGTGGATTTTCGTCAAAAGGTTTTGGTTTGGGAATTTGATTTTAGCCGTTCAATGTCACACGATGGATTTACGTGTGTGGTCTCAAGTGGATTCTGTGTATGGGCTATTCAGCATTGTCATAACTTTCACTATACTTGACTTCTTGTCATTCGATGTCATTGCATTATCGATTTCGCACATTTTTTTAATTCTCAGACTTATTTTATTTGGGTTTTTACTGATCATGACTTTTTAATATTAATTTGTGAATTTTTGTTAGAGGGTTTCAATTTGAGGATTTGATTCTAGCCCTTGAATTTAGTATAGTTAGTCTATGTGTGTGGTCTTAGATGGATTACATGCTTGGGCTATTTGGTGTTGTCATCTCTCACTATTCTTTACTTGCTCTTGTCTGACCTTGCTAGATTATCGATTTTTGACTTTTTTTTTTTTTTGCTATTTTCAGGCTTATTTCATATGGGTTCTTGTTGTTTATGTGTTTTTGTATTCCATTGCTTTTTCTCAACTTCACTTTGGCTCTTAAGGGTTCTCAAGTGTTAAAGCTTATAGTTGTTTCTCAAGCATCTTCTCACTTATTTAGTTTATGATTGTTTCTCAAACGTCTTCTCGCTTTTTGTTTGCTGTTTGAAGATAATTGCTTTCTATTTTCTTCATGGATTCCTAACTAATGTCGACTACTGTTCTTTTTGGGAACCCGAATTTGGATTGTGTTTTATAATATTTTGTACGTGGTCTAATCATTGTTGCTCTAGTGTTTCCTTTTTTAAAGGAACATGAATTTGGATTGTGTTTACGATGATTTTTTTTTTTATTCCTAACATGATTTGCTGAATCTATTTTGTGTTTTCATTTTTTTCCTGAGATTTTCACATGTTTTCATGGATTTATTTTGTCTGATCATTTATTCAATATATCTCTTGTTAATTGGCACTGTAGTTTTGAGTTATAGGCTTTTATTTTATACTCTCTTATTTTTATTTATTGATTTTTTTTAAAAATTAAGAATTCACAGTCTTGCTTGGCCAAGTTATAATTTTGTTAATTGTTTTTTTTTTGTAGAGCGTGGATTTGAATTATGTTTCTTGATATTTTATTCATCGCTTGATCATCATTGTTCCTTTCTATCTTTTTTCTTTACAAAACAGTTGTTTACAATTATTGTTTTTTACGATTTCTCCCATCATTTGATGAATCAATTTTGTCTTATCATATTTTTCTCAAATTTTCACTAATCTTTTATGCTTTGTACATTGCAAAGCATTTAACTTGAAACTCATGATATATAAAACAATTATACTGTTTGGTCAAGTACATTCATGGTTTGTTTTATATTGAAAAACCATACTTGCTGGTTTACAATTTATTTTGTGTTGATCACAATTTTTGCTTATCGTATTTCGGGGGCTCAAGTTTACAATGTCGGTTGTTATTTTCTATTTTGATCGTATGATTGTTTCTCTTAATTAATTTTTTGATATTTCTTTTTTTTTGTAAGGTTTTTGTTTCGCTTATTGTCTCGACTGTGTGAAATATTATAAATAATTAAGTTTTTAAATTTAAGTTAAGCATCATTTGTTTAATTTTCTGTTATAATATTAAAAAATTTTAGAATTGAATTTTTTACATATTTGCTAATCAAGAGTGATAGTTTGGGTTGTCATTTACAATTCAATTTTTGTTAGAAATGAATCCTTTTATTCATTAAGGGAAGGATTGATCATCAAAGAAGATGGATGAGGCGTGTATGGTCTTTCCTTCCTTTAGTGATGAGAAGGATATTTTCTCTAATTGAAATTTGGACCATTTCATCATAACACAACTGTTGTTCATGCAAATAGAACATATCAAATTTCTTTATGGTTTTTTTCCCTCAGTTGAATTAACATGATTCATTGCATTTTATATGCCAATAATCATAACTGATGCTAAACAAGATAAGAACCATGTCATGCACTATTATTGCTTCTCTTTTTGGTTTTGTAGTGTGTTTGTCAATACAAAGTCTCCTATTGGCACAAGGAGCTAGTTGAAACTGTAACGTGTTTAAATTTCATAAAGTTTAGAGTTTTGAATTAACACCTAAATTTTTTACTGTGTAATCTTTATTTATTAATGCTATTTACATTTCATCCTGTATTGATCATATTTTCGTTTATTGTATTTAAGTTTAGAGTTTTGAATTATCACCTTAATTTTTGGCTGCGTAATCTTTATTTTTTTGATATTATTTACATTTCATTCTGCATTGATCATATTTTTTGCTTATTGTATTTAAGTTTAGAGTTTTAAATTATCACCTTAATATTTTGCTATGTAATATTTATTTGTTGATGTTATTTACATTTCATTCTACACTGATCATATTTTTTGCTTATTGTATTTAAGGTTTTCAAATTTGCAATGTCTATTGTTATTTTCTGTTTTGATTTTATGATTGTTTGTTTGAATTAATTTCTTGATATCTCTTTATTTTAGTAGAGTGACTGTTTTCCTTACTGTCTCAATTGTGTGAAATATTGTAAGTAATTAAGTTTTTTAAGTGACCTAAGCATCATTTGTTTAATTTGTTGCTGTAATATGTAAAAATTATTAGAAATAATTTTTCCCATGTTTGCTAATCAAGAGTAATAGTTTGGATTGTCATTGATTGTCCAATTTTGGTTAGAAATGAATCTTTCAATTTGTTAAGGGAATGATCGGTCGTCAAAGAACATGGATGAGGCATGTATGATTTTTCCTTCCTTTAGCAATGAGAAGGATTTTAATTGTTGCACAATCTGATGCTGCCTTTCTAGTGTGAAGTAACTTGCCTAGCTAAAATTCAAATGTTGAGCATTGGCCCTGTTCATGTAGCCTATGAGATTAAGAAAGAACTGTTTCTAGCATTTTCTATAGTAGGATCTAAAGGGTTTCAATTTGTTTTGGAGTCTTAAAGTTCATTACTTCTTTGTGATGTCTGCAAGCCATTGATGCCACTATGGCGTTAAGATCACAATCTTGATACTCCAAGCCTCGTTGATGTCTTCAAACTATCCCAACTAAGATCATAAGCCATGGATGATAGGTACAAACAGGCAACTACATCGGGTTTCAGCATAATACTTGGATCATTTTGGAATTGCAAGTTCAATATATTTTGTGATGGACTTGTCTTCATCAACCAACAGAGGAATTTTAAAGTATTGCAAACCTTTTTACCATAGGCTCTTCCTTTGAATCTCTTTTTGTCTAGTATAAGGTGTCATTGTGAAAATTGTGTTCTTTAAGAAGAAGCTTTAAATGTTTTTCCCTCCAAAGAAATTGATTAGAAGCATAAGAAAGAAACTATGCTAGGATTAGCAATTTTGAATAGGGAGTTTAGAAAGCTGATGTTTGA